CACCAAGAACGCCGACCTCTTTACATGGTCTAGTGCCGACATGCCAGGTATAGATGCTAACTTTATCTGTCACAGGTTGGCAATCCATAGAGAGGCAAAACCAGTGGCCCAGAGAAAACGGAAGGTCAGTAGTGAGAGATGAGAAGCTATCATCACCGAGACACAAAAGCTGTTGAACGCGGGCTTCATCCGCGAAGTCAGATACACCACGTGGCTGGCAAACATGGTACTGGTCAAGAAGAACTCGGGAAAGTGGCGCATGTGCGTTGACTACACTGACCTGAATAAAGCATGCCCTAAGGACTCATACCCCTTATCGAGCATTGACAGGATAGTCGACGGAGCATCTGGGCACGCCCTACTCAGCTTTTTGGATGCTTACTCCGGGTACAACCAGATCATGATGTACCCACCGGACGAGGTGCACACATCGTTCATCACTGACCACGCCAACTTCTGCTACTGCATGATGTCATTTGGCCTCAAAAACACGGGAGCCACTTACCAAAGGCTGATGGACAAAGTCTTTCACCAGCAGATCGGGAAATATGGAAGTATACGTCGATGAAATGGTGGTCAAAATCACTTCATCCGAGGCTCATGTCGCTGACTTGGCCGAGGTGTTCAACCAGATCAGAAAACACAATATGCGTCTCAACCTAGAGAAGTGTGTCTTTGGCGTCCAGGGAGGCAAATTTCTTGGCTTCATGATCACCAGCCGGGGAATTGAAGCTAACCCAGAGAAGTGAAAAGCCATTATACAGATGTAGAGCCCGCAGACTGTTAAAGACGCCCAACGTCTGGCAGGAAGGTTGGTCTCCCTTTCTCGCTTCATCCCTAGGTTGGCAGAGAGAGCAGGGCCCATCTTCACCCTACTACGAAAGCCGAAGAATTTTGAATGGACTGACCGGTGTGAAGAAGCTTTCAAGAGCTTCAAAACTTTCCTCACCACCCCGCCAGTCCTTCAAAGGTCGGATCACCACTCCGACCTCCTTCTTTATCTAGCCGTGGCCCGGTATTGGATTTTTAGGTGTTTTAGTCACGTTGGAACGGTCCGTTCCGAGGTTCTGAACGGCCCGTTCCGATTCTGGAACAGCTCGTTCTGGGCTACTAAAACAACCTTATTTGATCTTTAGGCCTTCTGACATCCTGTCTTGTTGTTTGCCTGCTTCGGGAGCTCCATTCCTTCATGATGTAGGTCCATTTTCTTGTTTGTGTGCCCCCCGGATGAAATTGGGTGTCTACACTTAGTAAAAACAAGTGTGCTACACGTATTGGAATCCCATGCATCTATGCAAGCTGAATTACAAATCGATCAATCCAACTTGATGTTAATGCGACTAGAACCAATCCTCCCTTAAGACCAAGTAAACTCAACACCTTTCATAGAGATATGAATAAGTTGATGATGATTAGTTTAATCAGAAAAGTCCGCATAGGATAATGAACTTGGTACATTCTCGCCCCTGTTCTCATGAGTCTCAAATCGATCAATCCATGTAAGCTGAATTACAAATCGATCAATCCAACTTGATGTTAATGCGACTAGAACCAATCCTCCCTTAAGACCAAGTAAACTCAACACCTTTCATAGAGATATGAATAAGTTGATGATGATTAGTTCAATCAGAAAAGTCTGCATAGGATAATGAACTTGGTACATTCTCGCCCCTGTTCTCATGAGTCTCAAACACAACATTAAAATCTCCCATAAACAATGAAGGTCACGCATAAGAAGATTGCAACATGGATAAATTAGCCTAAAGTTGATGCCTTTTAACATATAAAGTCGCCCTATATATTGCAGCAAAAAAATAAGGCTTATGATCAACAACAATAGAGAATGTTATAACTTGAGAAGATATCAACAATAGAGAAGGATCCAAATTCAATGAATAGAAGACCTATAGGTTTGGAGAAAGCTGGTCCCTAGAATTAACAACAAATAACTTAAGACCTATATCGTTACAAAAGGAATAAGGAAATCGCTCTAGAGTGATCCAAGGTTTAGCAATAAAAGCCAAATCCGATTTATGAGATAAATACAAGTGCCTTAAAACATGCCTAGTCTCTACATTAGATAGGCCTCTAGCATTCTAAGAGAATGCCTTCATTATGCTCATATAAGCTTTCTCTTTTAAGACTTAGACAACACCTGTTCTAACGAAGGAAGCTTTCTCATAACTAACTGCATCAACTAAACCCATAATGTTAGCACCAACCTGATTCACATTATCTAAATTATCAACAAAATCCGCACTAGCCATCCCCAAGTTATGACTAAATCCACTGCCCACATCAATAATCTATTTTGGGTCACATACTTTAACCCTAATTTTGGATCTTTCATCCTTGTTCTTTCTTTTTCAAGTAGAATGCCAACAATTCACCATAAAGTGGCCAACGGTTTGACAAGACATGTAAAAAGTAGGTAATTTCTTGTATAAAATATCCACGAAAAATGCAAATCCAATCCTATCTACCAAGATCTTCTCCTTGAGATCTATTTTTAAATCCACGTCCACCAGCACACGAGCAAAGTGACCATAGGTTCTATTAATCGTGGCATCATCAAGAGATAAAGGAGTACTTGTTCCTCTAGTAATAATAAATAGAATCTAAGGATGCCAATATTCTCGAGGAAGACCATAAATTCGAACCCAACATTATGCATTCAAATTAAGCACAATATTTGGATTAAAATTAGGAGACCAAGACAAAAGCCATAACACCTTGGGTTTCAAATCCCAAGATTCTCCAACCAAAAGCTTCCTCAAATCTTCCACTGACGAAAAGGGAAACTCAAAGAACCCCTTCCCAATGGAAATCATCCTTCATTAAGACGACGACTTCCACAAACTACACAATTTTGAACGCAAATCTTGAAGTCTTGGCAAAGTCAAACCTTTGGGTAGAACCAACCACCTATGTTAATTATTTTTACATCCCTCTAACCCAACCTAATACTCATCCTCTAGAATGGATACCTCAAAACTATTTTCCTTCATGTAGGGCATCGATAATTAACTCATAACATCACAAACATTATGAAAAGCTTGAGCGAATATTTTCTTAACCGAAGCCTACGCACCAAACACAATAGGAATGAAGAAACCATCATCCACAAGAAATCCCCATGGCACAATGACATTTGCATCCATGATCACATGCAATACCTCTTTAAATATCACATTTAATATGTCTAATGTTTACAACATTTGCTTTCATGTTATTCCTTAATAGATTGAAGGAATAAAAATTTCTTTTGTATTCCCAATGCATAAAGAAATGAGGATTTACTTTTCATTAAAAAAATAGACAAGTAGATATCTTAAAGTATATGAAGTTAGTTGAAAGTCATCCTTGACTAATACAACAATTCCTTTCCTTTTATACCATAAAGGTGATAAGTAACTTCTTTGATCACATAGAAAGTGAAAATTTGGTGAAACTTATTTAATGTAAGTATTTATTACACCAACAAATACCTAACTCTATAAGGAAGCAAGACAAAGTAAGTTGATCAATGCTATTCAAGGATTTAAAACAATCATTTTCAAAGATCACTCATGAAAATGAGCTTTAACCTCATAGAGAAATAAGGAATTCATATCATTATTTTTATTTCCTTCATTCTTTGTAAATTGTTGTACCTAAAAGTTTTTATCACATTTTGTGTATAGCAAGAAATTCTTTTTTAGTTTACCTAACTTAAACTATGGGTTTTGCTTGAAGCCTGAAGAAGCTTTTTTATTTAAAAAATACTAACGTTGAAGCCTAGAGAGGCTTTGTATTGTCCAAAGACTACTTGGGTACTTTGCTTGAATAGGAAAATAATAGAACACTTAGGTTGAGTCAAAAGTGGCTTGTGAAACAATACTTGTATCTTTGTGAAAGATAATGAAACTTGATCAAGTTAATCAAGATCTGGACATAGTCTTGATGGTTGAGATGAACTGATAAGAATACCTTGTGTTCTTTACTTTACTTCATTTGCAATTTTTTAATCTTAAAGGGTTACATACATACATACATACATACATATATATGTGTGTGTGTGTGTGTGTGTATGTGTGTGTGTGTGTGCATGTGTGTGTGTGTGTATCAACAGAATATATCTGTATTGAAAATAGAAAACCTTATATGTCGATCAAACACTTTACAATCAGGTTGTATCTAAACAACTGCATCAAAAATGCCATCATTTGCAAGCTCTCTCTCCATCTAATCTTGACCTGCTCCCATATGATCATCATAGTCTAACACATAGAAAAGTATGGGTAAATTTGTGTAATAAGAAAACAACATATAACATCAACTCACAAAATGCATAAAAGAAAAATAATGAGTACATTATGCTTCTTATATATATATATATGTGTGTGTGTGTGTATGTATGTATGTATGTATGTATATATATGTATGTAGAGAGAGAAAGAAAGAAAGATAGGTGAAGGCATGTTTGAATAAAATTTTTGTATTAAATAAATAATTTATAATGCATGTTTACCCCTACATAAAATTGTTGACTTGGCCATATAGTACCATATCCCTCTTCTCTTTTTTAGACATTTGCATGTTAAAAGTGTGAATTTCACCCGCAAATAAAGGTTAAAACATTAAGCTTAGACAAATAAGAATATTATAGGAAAAAAATAAAATATATTATCACAACAATATTTTAGAATACCAACCATTGTATTTTTTTCTTAAAAGAATAAACTTCTTTATTATTTTCTATACTAAATTCTCAATTTTAGTTTTTATTTATTAAAAAATATATTTATTTTAAATAATGTTTAACTTGACATTTACTTTTGACCAAAAGAAAAAATAAACAAAATTAAAACTATCAAAAACACATTTGTAAAAGAATATACCATCACTATGATAAAAAAAAAATCTTTAAACATATTAATGGAAAAGAAAAGAACAAATATAAATTACATTTAGTTTGGATTTTTTGGGTTTGTTAGTTTTGTCTTTGATCACTCTATATGTCTCATCTAAAATAAATAAAATATATTTTTCATATAATATTATAAATGTTTTACAACTTATTGTATGTACTCAATTAAAACACATTTAAATATACATGCACTTTGAGACACTAGAGCTAATTATCTAACCCAACCAGTTTTTCATAACATAACAAACAAAAGTAGTGACATCATTTTATTATTAATAGACAATGCCCTTTGTATGCATATTATTCAAAGAAACTAAATTCGTAATCATGATGATGATAATGATGAATACACATGTTTTGCGAGCCTCGGGCGAGGGTGGGCAGATAAGGGAACTACTCTTTGGAGGGTGAGCCCATATGCTTCATCCATGTTGAGATTTTTGGGGTCAAGCCCATTCTCTAACTCCCAATCAAATGCATGGGCTAGGGTTGCAATGAGCAACTGAACCACCTTTAGACCTAAAGTCACACCAGAACATATTCTACGTCCAGCACCAAAAGGTATAACCTCAAAGTTATTGCCTTTAACATCAACATTGGCCTTTTCACTACCAGGAAGAAACCTTTCAGGCTTGAAAACTAATGGGTCAAGCCATTCCTTGGGGTCACGTCCTATGGCCCAAACATTAACCAAAAGAGTTGCACCTTTAGGAATGTGGTAACCAAATATCTCACAACTCTCTTCAGCAACTCGTGGGAGGGAAAGA